ATACAAATAAAAAAAAATGAATTTTGAAAATTTCCAATATTTTTTCCGTGCAAAGTGCCAGGAAATCTTAGGTTTCCTTCGGAGTGCTCCACTGCCAAGGATATCAGGAATTTTCAAACCGGTCCACAATGAAAGCAACGAATCGGTGCTTTTGTAAACGTTTATTTTTGTATTGCAGAATATAGATAATAAGAATAATGTGTTACTATTCTTACATGTGATCCGTTTACATCACGCTGACGCGACTCGGGCACCGAAACAATTCTTCTACCAATGTAGCTCAAAGGAAGTCCCAGATCGGAGATATCATAACGAGAGCGGGATGTGATATACATATATATATATACAAATACTGTGGGTTAAATATCTACAACTCCGGATTGCGCCCCTATTTTGTTCGAAGTCCATGGACGTGGTACATTTGAGTAATAAACGAACGAATGCTCGTCGGGACGATGAAAACGCTCTACTTTTACCTTCTATTCGTAGCACAGAGCGCATTCCAGTTGAAACTTTTTAACGAGCGCGTGTATAATCTTGCTCGACAGCATTTTTTCTCCGTATCAACAACGTTCAAATCTTAACAAAAACGCTTGCACGCTTATATAAACATACCTATTCATGGTCAACTGTTCTTTTTCTCTCTTTCCTCTTTTTTTTCCAAACCGCCAGTAACCATGATTTATCGACTCCCGGATATCAACGAGAGAATACACATAGCAGAACGTTTCTTTGTCCACGAAATAGACAATATCGGTATTGTTAAATTAAATGTTCGTTTAAATTACGACGAAACTGTATAGCAAAAAGGTCGATCGAAAAGTACGCCCGTGTATTTACATAGTTTGCACTTCAGGCTACCTCGCGAAAGTGAACGATAACTAAAACGATGCTCGCGATTTGCATCAAGTATACCCTTGAGCTGGTTCATAATCTCATACACCAAAAATAATCTTAACTTAATTTCTCTACTATGTACAGGTGCGTTAGGCTCGTTCGCCAGCTCGATTTCTCCCATGTACACCCATCTTTCGATTACTTACAACTAAAGTGGTCTATCAACGTCGAGTTCTTAATAAAAAAAAAAAGAACAAAAACAAAACAAGTTAGACTTGAGCTTGCTGCGCGTTTGAAAAAATGGCGCGGAAATGGAACACGCGACTGATAAGAGGCAAGCGCACTTGTAAAATACAAAAGAAACGAAATAAACTCAATGAAAAATGAAATGTTGGAATATTCATTTTTTAAATGATCCAGCACGTTGAATCGCACTTGCTCTACGCGCACACTCACACAAGTCCATGAGCGTTCCACTAACTAACTTAACAGTCCCTAACAGTTATGGAATAATAAACGGTAAAATGTCGCGTCGTTATAGGTCGAAACTTAAAGAAGAATCGCAATTCCTCCCGTCTGCACGCAATTTTCTACGCGAAGTGTCTCTCCGAGTATGGCAAATATGGCAAACTTCGCGTGCTCGTACGTACCGTATGCGCCCGTCGTTTCCCTCTGCTCCGAACGAACGCGCGTTTCGTGCCATTCCCGCGTTACAGTAAACATCGAGTTCCCTGTACAGTATTCCTATTTACCGCGTCGAATATTAAATACGTAGTCGGCGCAGGTGAGCGAGAAAATCCTCGCACCTGGCTCTCGAGAGGCGCGAAAACGACGAGTCTTGTTGCGTCTCGCGACAAGATCGGCTATATTTACAAGAAGAGGAAGAAGAAGAAGAAGAAGAGAACAAACGTAACACTTCTTCTTCTGAAATGTTGCGCGTGTCGTAGAAAAAAATACAGTTCGTATCACAATGTTACAACATAGCCAAAGTGCAGCTTGCACGATGTATCCTCTTGTATACAAGGTGTCTCTATGGTAATGTATTCCGCGACATCTGCTCCTTTCTTCCACGTGTCGCGTGTACGGTACAGTTTCTCTATCCTAAGAACGCGAGAGCGACACGCTGCTTTCGTGATTGTCGATTACGCGTCGGTTTCGTCGCTGCCGCATTATTGCACGTCCGATAGAAAGAAAAAAGGGAGAGAGAAGCGACTTCTAGCGATTTCTGCGAAGAAGAAATCGGTGAATCTCGGTTCCCGATCTCTGTCGTTGCCACGAACGCATACGATCACGGAACGATTAGTATGCGGTACACAGTTCCACGCAGTCTGACTCTCACTCTATCAGTGGCAAATTCACATCTCGTAATTAGCTACCTCGTCGATCCAAGTTCCTCATAAGTTAAGATCGTATTTACAACACGGCGACACGATCGTTCGATAAAAGAAAAAAGAAATGTACATCGCCGTCGGTTCGCGCGAAAATTACTTCCTAACTCTCACCGCGCAGTACGAAAGCTACGCACCGACCCAGATGATCGCACAATAATGGACGGAATTTGGATTTCAGGCAAGTGCGACAGACTCGTCCATGTGAATTTTACGACAATGTCTATAGGTTCACGCGTCAAACGTACACCTCTCCTCTCTTGCTGCCCGCTCCCGGTGCTGTTGTTGGCATTATGTTAGAAGCAGCAGGTGTAGTAGTACCTAATCCGCTAGACAACGAGGCGTTGGTACAAGAAACGCTGCTGATCTTCCTCGAGTTATCCTGCATACGATGATTAGGTCTACAGAGATCGTGGCCTATACTGTTGGTCCTTGGTCTAAGGTCCCTGTTGGCGTGTACCATTAGCCTGTCTATGTTAGGTGGTTCGTGACCGTGTGACACCGAAGCAGCACGATTCTCCCTCGGTTGAAGACCCGGTGATTGAGGGAGAGACATACTCCTGTCTTCTCTGCACTGTGCAACAGGTGGTCCAGGTAGAGAAGCTGATCTTCTGCCACGTGGATCTGTTCCCGTCTTGTTATCCTGCATAGTAGGTACGGTAGTGACTACGTAACCTAATTTCTCAGGATTCATCAGGATTGGAGAACGATCGCTGTAACTATCGAAAATCGGCGAGCTACCGTTGCTACCCAAAGTACTAGCGTTCTCCCCGATAAGAGGTGTGCTTCTGTCTTGACTGATCAAAGGTGTGGAACGTTCTTCCTGTCCCGCGATACTGCCGCTCCTGCTGCTTCCACTACCAGAACCTTCCTCCTCGCTGCTGTTCACCTCGGTTAACGTAGCTTGTACACCGTTGATGTGGTTCGGTGGCTTGATCATGGAGGCCGAGGTTGTCGTCACCAGGCCTAATTGCGTCAACTGACTCATGGTGACCGGTGTCAGGGTGACAGGAGCGACTAAACCAGCGCTGGTTAAAGTTGGCGACAGTACAGCCTGCGCCAAGGCTGCCGCGCCGGATTTTCCTTGCGCAGGAGTGCCTTCTGTCTCTTGAATAGGTGAAAGCACGACCTGCACCACGGGTAGGTCCGTTGGATAATGTCCGTTCGCTGGTATCACACCGACGACACCTGCGCCGATGTTGGCCGCGTTCGTCGCGGATAGAGCGAGTCTCTGTTCACGGTCGACCACCTCTTTCGTCACGTCCGGCGTCGGTATGCGGGGTCGATTCTTCAGAGAAACTGGCACCGAGTTCAGCTTCGTCATGGTGGCTACGGATAGAGAGAACCAAGAGGAATTAGAGAGCTCCGTGACAGTGTGATCGAGGTCGTGTCTCGATTAAGGCGAACCGATTAAATTAATCCGTGGCGCCGACACCGGGTATTATCGAGGCTAACGATGATCACGCTAATTTTCGTACGGTTGGGTACAGTTTTACCGCTAGGAACGAGGAAACGAACGTGTCTTCGATCGAAATGGAAGGAGAGTCGAGGAAAGGATGTGTAATTGCTCGGTGGCTTTTCCTTTTTTTCTCTCACCGATCGATCGGAGAGTGAGAGGCGAAGAAAGAAGCACAAGGTCTGTGGAAAGTTTTTTCTTTTTTTTTTTTTGCGAGAAGCGCAATTCGCAATTGCGGAAATTGTTCAGGTTGCACAAGGTTACCGGTTGCATAATACGTGTAGACTTGGTGCGAGTAGAGTTAGGTGGGGAAAGCATTCGAACATTCGCGAGACTTTCATTGAAAGTTTTTCTCGTCTCGGGGATCGGCAAGAACGCATCGGACGAGGAATGTCAAGTGAAGAAGAACGGAAATAAGGTCGATATTAATCGATCTTCTTGCGCTGCTCTTTTTTGCCTCCCCCCCTCGATAAACTTCCAGGAATTTTTCTGTTGAATGACTTCGCCGAGCGTAACGTATCGCACAATCAGCGCGCAAGATTAATTCACAGAAACTGCCAGATATACTGTTACACTGTGTGGGAGTATTGCGTAAGTTTGCGCCATTATCGTTTAAACAACCTGGAAATCAACCGTGATTACGAGACGAGCACGTTTTCAGAAACGTTGACACTATTGCCGGTGTACGTTACCATCGACAGATTCACCTTTGATTCATCTCCACCTCGTGGAACTAGAATAATGCAATTTTATCGATCGTTTACCTTGTCGACCCATTCTTTGACTTCGAATACTCTTCCTCCCGACTAATCTATCGTAGAGCGACATCTTCAAATTAGGATTATTCGTCTGCGGTAGCCCGCCGGTTTCGGGACTGCTGTAAACGCTGTTGTGTCGATTCCTGGAGAAGAAACCACCTCCGCTGCTGTAAGTAGTCGATGAGCTACGAACCGAGCCCATTCTGGTGATCTGTCGTTGAAGCCAATTTTTCCTCCGCTCCACCAATGGAGTATCCACACTTTCCTGCAAAAAAAATGCACAAAAAAAGCGCATAAGCATCGAATTATCCTTCCTTTTTCATTGATGCTTGTCGGATCGTCGAATCGACAAATATAGTCAAAGGCAGGGTGTATCGCCGGACTCTCAAGTTCATCTCGTGACGTTCACTTACGTAATCGGCGTACATGTCATCCTGATGGGTCTTGCGATGCTGTACGTGGTTGTGTATCTGTGTGCCGAGCATGACGTTCGCGTACAAAGCGTCGCTGTCTTTGACCTTATAATGCTCGGCGGATCCTTTCGGCTCCTCTCGCCTGTACTGCTCGCTGGCCACCGTGTACGGTAAATCTTTCGGCACGACCTCGTCCCAGTACTGATCCTTCAACAGCTCGGGATGCTCCTCGTGCATTTCGTCCACGATCATGTAGCCTGCCTGTTTCGTGTGCGTCGTCGAAACGAGAAATTATCAGACTCTCCGATTCGATGGAACGATCGATCGAAATATGGAAGAAGAAGAAAGTTTCGGAATTGTACCTTGATGTGACGATCTATCAACCAGTTCAGCTCGATGTCGTCGTCGTCCTCTCCGAAAGGATTGATCAACACCTCGGCGACTTTTAACCATCCCACGTAGAAACAGAACTGAAACGATCGAGAATTTCATGGATACGTAAAAAGAAGATTGGTCGTTTTTTTAACGTTGCTTCGCGAGAAGTGGTTTTCTTACCTGTAGAGCCGTGAAAAACGGGAAATACATGTCCGGTTCCTCGTATTTTCCACCACCGACGTCTGTGCGCTCGATGAATTGTCTGCCGAGCAGGGCGGAAAAGAAGTACGCGTACAACGATAGCGTAACTACCTGGAAGAATCGTAAAGGAGGCGATGTTGAAAACTCGTTCGATTATCGGCGTGACTATCGCGACGGTCTTGAGAAACGATATTGCGTAGGTGGATGATTATAATAATTGGATAAGTAAAATTAAACGGCGTGGATAATTTCGCGATAAAGGAAGGAGGAAAAGGAATGAAAAACACGAAACAGCGTCGTTATACGGTTTGTTAATCAAACGGTTTGTCGGTGGCGAGAGGTGGAGGAGGAGGAACAGGTGAATTAAACGACAGAAATTTATAGACGAACATCAATCGGTTGCGTCATTTTCTGTCGATTCCTGGAACGATTGTTGGACACTTTCTGCGGATCGAGGAGGAGCGGAGAGACAAAAGCGATCGTGCCGATAAGAAACAAGTAGCATCAGACACACCGTGGGTTGCTCGCACATCGCTATAAATATCTCTTCTCTCAGACTCACTTTCTTCGTTTCTTTTTACCGAGAATCCTTTTGCGAAACTTCGCCACGCGCGAGTACCTAATTTCCTTGCAAAATATGAAACGAGGTTTTCTCGTTAGGGGAAATAACGACGATGTGAAAAATCGACGAAAGAGTAGATGTGAACAACCTCGTGGGGTGAAAATGTCCCGATCTTTTTCTAGAAGGGTGTGCAATTTCAAACAGGGTCAGCAGTTTGGCGGGTGGTTCTCCTTCGATCGATCGTTTCGTCCTCTTTCTTCTCTTTTTTCACGCGCGTGCACGCGCGCCAGCGAACAGGTTTGGATGAAATCATATCAAGGTCATCAAGAGCACCGCCTTTCCTCGTCGAAGGCCACCAGGAAACGACGGTTTATGCAAAAGGCTTGTTAGGAGTGAAAAAGGGGAAAAAGAACAACGGGGTATCTGGAAACTTTGATCATCCGTTGGTGGAGCGAAACGCTCGAAGCGAGGCGCGTCGAACTGGCTGCGAAATCATTTCCGCCGCATCGACGACGTCGCGCCGCGACGAGATTGTCGCGCGACTCATTTGCCGTCCTTGACCATGCGGTGTGCATCGCCTTCTTCGCTTACGCGCCATCCACCGTGCGGCCATTTGTACGCGAAAGCATTCCTTTGTAAAAATCTGACAATGAAATTAATTAACGGGACGTGATGTACGGTGAGACTTTTGTATTCGCGGGGAAAGGTTGCTGGATCTTTCACGAGTACTCAAAACCGCGAAAAATACCGAACGCTGTGCATTAGTACGCTTATGGTAAAAATTCATTTATTTATTAGGCGTGAGAAAATGGTGACGGAAACAATTGATGGTAAAATATGAAAATTTAAGTAATAACGAAATAAAACTATAGAAATATAATAACGAGACGAAGTGAAGAGAATGACGAGATCCTGATTTTTGGAGCAGTTCACAGGACTATTTCAGAATTTTTATTAGGCGTAAGAAAATAACCGATAATAAAATACGAAAATTGAACTAAAACTGATAACGGAATAAAACGATAGAAATTGAAAGTTGTATGATAACGATACAAAGCCTATGTTGAGACGAAATGAAGTGAATGACGAGATCCTGATTTATGGAGCGATTCACACTACTACTTCAGAATTTTCTATTATATTTTTCGAATACCTGAGGTTACACTGTACTCTACAAATTTCCTCTATTGAGGAATGTTTACGTTCCCGCGTAAAAATTTGTCGTCGACAATTGAACGTCTTGCTTGAACAGCTGTTTCGAACGAAATGAGAGACAAAGGTAGTTTGGTTGGTAATTAAAGCGCATTGTCGCGTCCCAGGTAAATTGCTCTCTCTCGTTCTGTTCTCCGGCCTCTTCTGTCTTCGCAAATTGACGAAACACCGAGTAAGCAGACACTTGCTATTCAAAACGTTCGCGGTAACCGATGGTGGATGGACAAAACATACAGGTCGAACGGCGTTTCAGGTAAACGTATCATTATACGGTTCTGCATGCCGGTTTGCGCGTAACCTTGCGATTTTATGCCGACTTAGAGAGCGAAGACGTGATTCGTATAGTGAAAGATGAACTTATTCCATGTCCGTTCTTCTGTTTCACCATACGAAACTACCAAGAAGAACATAATTACACCCGAGTCTCTAATTCTTCAACGTTCCCTACGTTCTCGTCGCTAATTCCAGGGTAATTTTCACAAAAGTGTTTATACACCTAGCGAAATCTTCGTAATGAAACCGTCTACGGTTAATAAATTACCACTGTACAAATCTCGTGGAACGAATTTTCAAACAGCTATTCCATTTTCCTGCTTGGAATTCGAAGCGTTTCTTTGTCGATTGATAAATTAATACGAATCACCGGTAGAGTGCTGTTACCGGTGGTAATTTATGTGAGGAGCACGAGCAAAGCGAATAGAAACGAGTCGCTGACTAATTGAACGGTTTATCCCATCGTTTGTTATTGATCTAAATATAGTCGATAACGAAGCTCGAGGAAATTGATCTTTCCTTCGAGGAAAAAGTCGATCGATCTTTTCACGCGTTGCCTTTCCTCTTCGTCGCTGAATTTCACGCGCACACTGTCGTTGTCCTTTGTAACCTGCGACGCAATCTTGCACAACGAACGAGTTGGTTTTCTGTGGCTCCTCGGACCTCTGTCGATTCGTCGATTTTTCGAGGGATCCCTTTGCAGAACGAATGTCACACGTGAAATGGTAATTTATCAAAAGGGTGAACAAAGATGTCGAGACATCAGCGGGCTGTTTGATACAGCGAAAATGACGGCAGTCGACAATTAGGGACGTTAGTTGATGAGCAATTAACGTTGCACAATACATATACGTGCGAGTTAATTGCGACTACGAAACCGTGTTTTCCGAGAACGGACCTATTTCACTTGCCGCTACTGTTTTGATGCAACGAATCGCCAAGTCCTTCGAACCGGATAAAAGAACAACCGTGGTGATCGAACGTTTACGATACGAGCCTGGATAACGTTACCCAGGCGAGGATTAAATGAATGATTTCCAGCCTCTGTTCGCGGCCTCCACAATTACGCATCGAGCCTTTTATCGATGATATCGTGTTGCAACGAGGTGACGTACTTTCTAATGATCGCGACTACCTCGAAGCTCGTTAACTTCTTGCAGCGAGGAACGATTTAACCGGTGATCAAACAGAAATGCACCGTAACAACACGCTTAAACTCTTCTCCAAAGAACCTCGAAACGGGGGAGAGAGAAAAAAAGGGGAGATTCGACGAGTGGAAGAAGACAAGGAGAGATTCTGTTGGAAATGAGAATTGATCAAGAGGAAGTGCATAGCGAGAGAAAACGGCGTTATTGTTGAGAGAAGCCAACAGGAGGAATTAAGAGTTACGCAAGCGTGCGGTGCACACTGTCAACAGTATCAGAAGCGACGAAGTGGTAATGATGAGAAGCAGCTCGAGATGAAGACGTTCGCGCAAACCACACGGAATTTCTCAATGGCGATAAACGCCGCGCGCAATTATCCCGCTTCTTAACGATTCCTGAATGAGATTGAACACGGCGTAACATGTACAGCCGTTCCTTGATTAAATCTTAACTTTTGTAACGCTTGTCAAAGAGAAAAGTGAGAGAATCTATTACCAAGCGAATTCTCAAATTCCGTACCGACAAACGACGTATTGTTTGCCTTACGAGTTATCTCCTGTTTGACCACATTCGCGTTTTCAAGTATTTCTTGGCTCGTTCGGTAGAGTATTAACACGTTCGGAACGGTTCGATTTTACCAAAGTTACTCTAATTTTCAGTTTTCAACCCTTTTATCTGGCAAGCGTACGTGTCTTTTCGTAGAAAGTTATAAAAAAATATAGTGACCCACCATTCAATCTTTTTTCTCATACAGGATGAAATGATCCACGTGAGTCACATTCAATGACGTGAGTCTATTCAATCTTTTTGTCAACCATACTAAAATGACCCAAACAGATTACTTTGAGTATCACTCGATGACCCACAATGGGTCACACCATCTACTCAATTTTTCCTGTCATCCCTGACAAAATGATCCACGTGAGTCACTTGGAGTATCACTCGATGACCCACAATGGGTCACGCCGTCTATTCAATCTTTTCGTCAACCATACTGGAATGACCCAAACAGATTACTTTGAGTGTCACTCGATGACCCACAATGGGTCACACCATCTACTCAATTTTTCCTGTCATCCCTGACAAAATGATCCACGTGAGTCATTTGGAGTATCACTCAATGACCCACAATGGGTCACGCCGTCTATTCAATCTTTTCGTCAACCATACTGGAATGACCCAAACAGGTCACTTGGAATGTCACTCGACGACCCACAATGGGTCACGCCATCGATTCAATCTTTTTGTCAACCATACTGGAATGACCCAAAGAGGTCACTTTGAGTGTCACTCGACGACCCACAATGGGTCGCACTGTCTATTCAATCTTTTCGTCAACCATACTGGAATGACCCAAACAGGTCACTTGGAGTGTCACTCGACAACCTATAATGTGTCACGCCATCGATTCAATCTTTTTGTCAACCATACTGGAATGACCCAAAGAGGTCACTTTGAGTATCTCTCGTTGACCCACAACGTGTCACACCATCTACTCAATTTTTCCTTCTCCCTGTCATCCATGACAAGATTATTCACGTGGGTCACATGTCCAGAACGAGTTGACAGAGTATCACTAGCGGGACCTATGCGACACAGTTTGCAGAAAATCGCGGTACCCACCTGAGTGTAAACGAGAGGAACGCAAACGGTGTCGTAACCAATGAGCGCGCCAAGCCTCTTCCGGATGTCGCTCAGCTCGACAAGGAGGGTTTGCACTACTTGGTCGCTGGTTATCAAGGCTTCTCTCCTGGCTCTGTTTATAATATTGGTCGCCCATACCAACGGCATCCAATACTTCGACATGGCCGCCTTCTTGTTCATCATCTCGAAGATCTTCTTCTCCGATTCCATCATTAGACCTGCAACAGATCACAACGGGGATTATTTTCACTCTGTTTGTAAAACTTTCGACGTGACGAGACGCGATATCGCGATCGAAGAAACCAGGTGTATATAGAGATCTCTACCTCGCGAACTTTCACCGAACACACGGTTCTTACCGAATTCTCGCCGACAGAGTGTCTCTGTTTAGACGATCGTTATCGAACGTGAGTAACAAGCGATAGGTCAGCCTCTCTCTGTCCCTCTTTCACATAAATTCATCCTCGCGACTTGACGGTTCGTTAATCGACGAACACGTATGCATACGTGCCGCTTTATCGAGCGATCGGTATACCACACAGAGCGACTTTCGCGCGTGCATCCGCCGCAAACGTTTGCTCGTTACGTGAATGCAAATGCACACGAAACTTTGCGAACCTTTTCGATCTCTGCGTCTCTGACACGTGTGCCTGTATATTATTCGTGCCTGCCCGTTCAATCTCGTAGCAGACGATGTCTCTTCGCGAACGTGACGTTTCCTATCGTGTTACCGCTGTACAGTACACTTGGTAACGTTTCAATCTGCGTGTAATCTGGCGAGAAGCTACGAAACGGAGGATTTTTCCGAGAATATCGTCGAAAGACCTCCATTCGTTGCTTGCAGGAAGAAAGGACGATTGTTTATCAGTCCTCTGAGGTAACGATTATGTAATTGCTTGCGGCAGCTCACGTGAACGGCTCGTAAACATGGAACACGTGGGGAAGGCTGCACACTGCACGCAGCGAAATCGAGAATACGTTTATTAGTCAGCCGCGTGAAATAGTTAGCCGAGAATAAGTATCCGAGGATTTGCCGAAAGCGAACCAAACACTCTCGGCTGTAGAAAAGAATGCCTAAGCCGCCGCCGGTTTCCGTTCACGATCCGCATTACGTGTTTACATTATGTAACATTTGGCCGATATTTCTAGAGGCGAGATAGCGTTGCGGCTGCAATTAGCGAGGATATAGAAACTTTTGCGCTGCACAGCGAAACAACGAATTCTCTCGAAGAGAACGTGGCTCGATAAGATAGTGAAATTTTTTGCAACGCTCACGTAGCGTGGCTGACTTTTAAAAGAAACATCTCTCTCTCTCTCTTTCTCTATCACTCTCTGTTCGATTATGCTACGAGTTAACGATCGCTATTGGCCAACGTATTACGTGTAAAGACGGTTTTTTGTAATTTTACACATTACGAAATGAGATATTGTACATAATGTGTACAGGGTGTCTCTAAGTTAAGTAGCAAATACGCCATATGGTAGATCGTCTAACGCAGCTCGGAGAGTTCAACGCGGCGATAATTAGCGAGCGACCTCGAAATCGATGTGCCTCCCGTGGCCAACGGTGCAAACGAATAATGAGAAGAAAAGGAGAGAAAAACTGTGAGAAAAAAACACCTCTCATAAATAACCGTCGATTTCACAAGCTTCCACTTTCTTGCAAGAATATCATGGCTGTACACACGATTACTTTTCATACTTGCTATCTTTTTCTTTAAACAACGCTCATTTCTTCTCTCTCTCTGCCAGCCAATTAACTTCGTTAAACGTCTCTCGATTTCCTGTATCCTATCGAAACACCTCTTTGCAATAGAAACGAGCGCAGAACCGCGATAACGTTTCCTAGAGCGAGCAAAATGAGGAACGACAGGCTGTAACGTAAGATCGAACGTGTTACGCGACGTTTCGTGTTTTATGGATGCAACGCGATCCTCTCGAGATGGACGCGTTAACGATCGTTCCCGCGGGCGAAATAAGGAGGAGGAAAAACGAGAGGAACGGAATAGAAAGAAACGATGTTAAAAGTGACGGCGACCGCAGGTGAGCGCCGTAACTATGGCTCCGATCGGTATATCCGATCGGTTAACGGGAACGCGGTAATTTCTCTCTCGAACGAGGGAATCTTTTTATTGTCAGAGGTAGAGAGGAACAGGCGTGTTCTCGTGGACGTTATCCGTAACGAAGTTCTGTATAGTGGTAGAGACTGTCGAAAAAACACGACGCCATCCTCCTGTTATCGAAATAACTCGTGGCGTGGTTGGTGCGACACGTAGAGCCAGCCTGAAGAAACGGTCTGGCGACGATCAAAGAAACGCAAGTGTCGACGTGTAGTTATTAATGGTGGCACACATGTTCCTACATACCTGTTGTAGCGTAGTCGCATGGGAGCAGGTTCAGGTAATGACCTTAATCGCAAAAAGCGACGCGCGTAAACTGCCGTTCAAACCAATATGGCTCGAGATACGTGCTCGCCTTCCTGTGTACCACGGACCATTTCTTGCGATTATCAGCTCGTTTCGGTAGTAGAATTTTTCCATTTATCCTCGTTACACGAATTCGCGGACGAGAAAGAATTTATGTCGATCGCGTGGGTGGTCGAAGAAATGGTACCTATAGATCTCTTTAAGAGATCTGTTTAGTTTTGAAAAGGCGAAAGGCGTATCGTTCCTTGGAAAAATCAGAGGAAACTGACATTATTTCGATCCATATTTCTACGATCGTAATTTAATTTAAGTTATTCGCATTTATTTTCGAATACGTTCATTTCTGCAGTCATAAATTCCTAACCGATTATCGTGTAAATTTTAAATTTACTTAAAAAACAATTTCATTATTTAGGTTTTCTATTTAATATTATTTAGTTTTCAATATTTTATTTTATATATTAGCATAAAATATTATACAATTGTATTTATCAACTTGTACAATTTATTCCTTTTTCTTTCCCCACTTAAATTACATTTGCCTCGACTCCCTCGCGAACTACCAAATCCCGCAATCCTTTTCACCTGATCGAATATTTGTACTTACTCGGTAGAATGAATCGGCGGCATTTCAGCCGTTCGCCGTTATCGATCTTCGATGGAACAAAATCGACAATGAACGCCACGCGAGCGTTTCGCACGGACGGAGAACGGTTCTATCGGCTGGATCGATATGCAATCTGTTCTTTATTCGGTGTGTACGACCTTGATGCAATCGCATGGTCACATGGCTTCTATACAATGAGTTCGAGAATTTGCAACCGAGAGTCGTGAGCGATAACTCATCGTATGAGTCACGCGGCGATGTCGCGAGTACGGTGTTTGCGCGAGCTTGGCCAAACCGCTACATAGTATGTACTTACTCGGGACTGATCCATTAAATCTACCATTTTCGATTCTTCTCTCTTTTTTCTAATCCTTCCAACACGCTCTCTCGCGAGGGACCGTTCACGATCCACGTCGAATCGATTGCGTCGCGACGAAACGAACGTGGAACAATGAACGGTGAAAGAAAAAAAAAAGGAAGAAAAGTGACGATCTGAAATTGTGCGGTAGAAATAACTCGAAAGAAGAAACCGGTCCCGGGAAATGCATGCATGACTCGCGGTCAGGTTTTCCCCCCCACCGGTGTTTTAAAGGAAATATTTACGCTCGTTCGGGCTTAGCGAAACTCGGTCGCTTTCGCACGTCACACTCGGCGATTTTGCGCGCGAAAAAGTATGCGCGACGCCGACGACGCGACGCTCTGTCCGCTCGAAACGAAATTTTTCGAAAGTGCGCGCGCGCGCGCCGGGGACTAATCGTCGCGAGGAAGTAATTTATGCCCACTTTCACGGGATTTTTACGATTCGCCCGTGGAATCGACTAGAGACTGTAGCAACGACGAAAACACCGCCTCCGCGATTTAGTTTCGCGACCAATCTATTGGATGATTGCAAAAGTTCCTGCCTGATTTTCGAAGGTGGCGAGAACCTTATCGACTTCGACACAGATGCTTCTTTCAGCGTAATGTTACACTCCTATCGAAAGATACACCGCTTCTGTTTCATTCGTTTCGTTCCATTTCAGTTTCAAACGAAATCTGCTTTTGCACACACCGATTGTGCTTTATTTTCAAATCGGACACGAACTTTTGCAATCGACCGATACGATTGTACGTATGTATTCTCGACGAAAAAAGTCGACGACACGATGAGGAATTTCGAAGAAGCATCGTCGGTTGCTCGAGTAGGTTTAACAGCCGCTAACGAGACGAAATCGACGTTAATTAACGAAAGCATTCGCGTGTGTACTGGAAGCGGTCCTTGACGCGAGTCGTTCCCACTTGGAGCATGGACGTCGGTAACACGAATCTTACGTAGTCATTGCTATAACACGAACCGTACGATGTTGTGCACGTGTGTGTACGAAAGTTATTAATGACTCTTGATCAGAGTATCGAGCAACAAAGACGATAAAATGGATGAACGTCGGCAAACTCGGCGATCCATTATCATTTTAATCGTTCAGGCGAGCACGTAACGGGTAACAGTAGTGCAAAAGTAGCGAAACAGTTCGATTTTCAGAAACGATTACGACGATCATGGAGAGTCGAGTAGAATCGTAGAAAATTACATGGACGAGGGAACGAACGGACAAGTTCACCGACTGAAACGGCTTCGACGAATAAGAAGAGGCCGTACTCGTTTCTGGAGGATGTTTACCTCTCGAAAGCACATCAGCTGAAGAACGAAGATAAGCGAGAGAGGGAACGACTCTGGGATGCACAGCGGGCTTAAAGAGGAGAATGCTTGTCGGGGTCAATAAACGCGAGGATCCTTGCTCGGCTGGCAAGGTCGCCACGAAGGTAAAAAATCAACCGTGTTCCTTCGTCTCTCTTTCTTCTCGTCCTTTGCCTCCTTCGTCTCACCGTACTGGATCCACGATCAAGAGCATCCTTCGGAGGAGAAACCAGTCCTCTGTCCTCTTCGTTACGTCTTTAAGCCTGAATCACAACGTGCAGTCGAACGTACTAATTCATCACCGTGATATAATTACGATCCTTCTTTTCCTTTTTTAAGGGAAACGTCGTAGAGTGCGTAATGGGAGGGTTCAAGTACCACGTAAACTGTCTTCTTATGAACTTGTTAGGTTCTCTGGACGTGCGACACCGCGGTTCTTTTTTTTTCTCGGGAAAACCGTGGTTTTCCGGAAAAATTATGAACTTCCTTGGCGACAGTTGATATTGTATT